GGCCAGTTTACTTAGCTCTCATCCTCCGACGAATCGTTGAACCAGAACTTGTTGTACTCATTTTACTATGTTTTTATAAACTTGCTTTCTTTTTTACTTCATTTTAATTAGAACAAATTTACATAAATATGTATAAGCACGCTATTTGGTTTGCTCGATTTGTAAACAAAGCTTCTCAGCGGTGAAAAATATACTATTGTGAACAACCTAAACGAGCGAAATTCACAATAGCGCTATTCTTCATCGAATGAGCGCCATAATACCAAATGAAAATTCGTTCGCTCAGCACTTTCGACCACAGTCGAAAATCGAATGCAACTCANAGAATGTCGGCAGTTTGTAACTTTTTTTACGTATATTCAAACAAAATCGTCTGAATTCAGACTGCATGGCTGGTGGGCGTGACAGTAGACCGATTTTTACGATCTCTCAGATTTATGTGTTCCCATATTAACCCAAGTTATAAACCGAATTTCATTGAAATCCGATAACATTTACCATTTCCGCCCCCTAGTGTAGTGGGCGTGGCAGTCGGGTAAATTTTACCCTTTTTCATATTTATTCATTGCTAGGCAAAGGTACTCCACGTTACAATTTTTAGCAAAATCGGAGCACATTTACTACTTTTTGCCACATTTTGTATTGGCCTCTTCCACTGTGCATCGCACTATGGCTGATATAAGCACTTTCTGCAGTCAAAACTCAACCAATGCAGATAGGCCCTTAAAATCTGGTACACATGCTTCTAAGAATCTTAAAAGACGTCTGCTTGAAAATCAGCGAAATCGGCCTATAATCACACCCATTGCCCATATACCGGGTGTCCCAGACCACCCGTCCACCCCTTCTAAAATGGAGGAAAATATTCTTAGTGGAATACTCCGAAAGCATGGCTTGCAGGGTTTACTCGCATATAACGTTTCAAAGATTAAAATAGCTATAAAGAAATCTTAATTACTATTATTTATTTGGTAGAAATTATAATTGGCACTTTAGAAAATCTGTATTTAGATGTGTTTACGTGGTCTTTTGTAGAACATAATTATGTACTGGCAAAGATATATGTACATACATACATGTATGTGTACACATTGATCTGAATAAGCTAATAAAAACTAGGATTATAAATAACATTTTATTGATAAAAATTAAAAGCGAATTAAGTGGATACCTGACATATTGTATCACTAAAATCACACTGGCACATCAACATACTTACTCATTGTTTTTAGTCTAATCGTGAATTCTTATTAAATCTTATTCAACCTTATAATGAGTTTCATATTCGCCCGAAATCATACACTTTTCACTTCTGCGTATTCATTACGAGCGGATGAAAAAAATTCGGACGAAACTCACGTTAAGGAGTATTAAATCTAGAAATCTACGTACATATGTACATAAAAACAAATACATACATACATATACATATACCTATTCGAGTTACACAATTTAACAGCGCAAGTCTTAAATGTTATTTCATTTCGTTAAAATGTGTTACAATTTGTGATAAACTTTCATAGGTGCCAGTTGAGAAGCCCATTAACGCCAATACGAGTATCAAAATGTTTTTTGTAAATAGCCAAACGCCGGGTCCTTTGTTGTCGTCACGCTTCACAAGCAGTTCAATCATCGGTGGGAAAACCAACGCCAACGCAGTGGAACACAAAGCACCGATGAGCGACATAAACAGACCCAGTGCGGGTACCAATTCAGCAATGCATACTGGAATGTGGGAAGAATTATTAAAATATTTGTACCAACAATTTCGAAATGCAGTTAAATACTTACACGTCAGCACAACCATAATCGTGCGAAAGAGCAGCTCGCCGGAGAAGGGACGATTTTGCAAGTGCAAAAGTTGCATTGCATTCGGCCACATAATTTGTATGGCGATGAAGAATTGCAGCGGATAGCCGAGCAGTACGCCGGCTGACACCATTACCTTCACGGCTTGCGCCAAGCTGTGCCAAAATACAAACAAACATATGTTGAAATTAAAAAAAAAATATATGCTTTTATGCTCGTCAAAGCAACTCACATTGTATCGCCCAGATTCAGCGTCAAGCTGCCGCCTACATCCTCACCCCACTTGAGGTAGCCCAAAATGCCGGCAAATAGGAACATAAATGTCACCAAGCACATGCCCATATT